TGTATGATTTCATTATTAGATATGAATGTAACATTTATTTAGACTGTGCTATCCTTTGTGTTAGGCTAACTAGCGAAATTTTTTCGATTTAGATCTGCACCTAACCTATTATTTTCTCCATAAGCCCTGTTATTTCTATTTAGCGATTTTCTATAACCGATATTTTACAGAACACAATTATCGTTATAGCAGAACTACCTGTATATTTGTATTCCTCATCGATGAATTCGGACTGCAAATTCTCAAGGCATATCAGCATATACCTAGATCACAGCACCTACAGTGATTTACTTGCATATATATATATATATATATATATATATATATATATATATATATATATATATATATATATATATATATATATATATATATATATATATATATATATATATATATATATATATATATATATATATATATATATATATATATATATATATATATATATATATATATATATATATATATATATATATATATATATATATATATATATATATATATATATATATATATATATATATATATACATATATATATACATACATACATACATACATACATACATACATACATATATATATACATACATATAGTTAACCCTCACTTTACGCGGTTAATGTAACCCGGAGGGTACCGCGGAAAGCGAGAAACGCGTAAAGTGAATAACATAACATATGGGATTAATTGAAATGGAGTCCAGGCCGATCCCCAAACTCCACTTTTTGACGACACATAACTATGTTGTAGTAAAAATAACATCTTAATTTTATGATGGGGGAAAACCAGGTATAGTAATAAATAATACCTCAAACTAAAGTTAGGATAATATAATTGACATTGCTGGATTCCTTGTAAGACCAGGAATATTTTGAATATAAACATCATATATTTTGCACAAAAGATAACATACTTACTCAGATTAAACATTTTATCTAAAAATTTTATGTCTAATGCAAAATATATGATGTTTATATTCAAAATGATCACCAAATTGTAAGAATTCCAGCAATGTAAATTATATTCTGGCCGGGTAATTTGTATGAATTTTATGAGCTAAAATAAAAATCTTCAGTTAATAAAAAAAAAAATATTCTTCACACGGTAACAGATGGTCGGTCGCCGGTCCCTCCCTCCCTCCCCCCAACCCCCCACCAACGTCCCTACTAGATAAATGTGTGGGAATACCAGACTCTTTACCTTTTTAGTAATAAATAATAAATCAGACTAAAGTTAGGATAATATAATTGACATTGCTGGATTCCTTGTAAGACCAGGAATATTTTGAATATAAATATCATATATTTTGCACAAAAGATAACATATTTACTCAAGAGTAAACATATCTAAAATTTGTATGTCTAATGCAAAATCTATGATGTTTATATTCAAAATGATCATCAAATTGTAAGAATTCCAGCAATGTAAATTATATTCTGGCCGGATAATTTGTATGAATTTTATGAGCTAAATTAAAAAAAATTATACTTCACAGTGTAAAGGGGTACATCCACCGCGGAATGTGAGCATCCTGGGTTCTGGCAGGGCACTGCGTAAACGTGGAAACGCAGAATGTGGGACCGAGTAAAGTGAGGGTTGACTGTATATATATATATATATATATATATATATATATATATATATATATATATATATATATATATATATATATATATATATATATATATATATAT